TTCTGAATTTCCTCAACGTCTTTACAATACAATGGTTGCAAGCAAAAAGTGCCGGTTACGATAATGAGATTTCTAATAAACATGGGCACAATGCATGAAAGTTGCAAGGTGACCTTGGGTGTGGTAGTTCACATTTTTAATCCCAGCACTCAGGAGGCAGAAGGAGGCAGATCTCTGTGAGATCAAAACCAGCCTGGTCTACATAGTGAGTTCCAGGACAGCTGGGGCTACAGGGAGACCCTGTCTCAAATAAACAAAACGAAACAACAAAAAACCCTGTATGGTAGTGCACCCCTGTAATCTTTGTACTTGGGAGGTGAAGACAGGAGGATTGAGAGTTCAAGGCCTGACTTGACTAGGAAGTGAGTTACAGTACGGTCTGGGCTACATGAGATGTTGTCAAAAAACAAAACAAAACAAAAAACAAACAAGAAAACCAAACAAACCCAAAACTACAATACATAAGCAGGAGGCAAAGGGACCTAGATCATGGTAGAGCTTCTGCAATCCACTTTAAGTGGTGAGATAGTAATTCTTTTACTCACTATTTTTATTTTATGTGTATGAGTGTATTGCCTGGATGTATGTAAGTGTACCCGTGTCATGCAATGCCCAAGGAAGAGGTCAGAAGAGGGCATCAGATTCCTCTGGAACTGGAGCTAAGGACAGTTGTTAGCTACCATGTGGGTGCTGGGAATTGAACCCAGGTCCTCTGCAAGAGCAGACAGTGCTTTTAACTGCTAAGCCATCTCTCTAGCCCCTGAGATAGTAATTTTAACTAGAGTGTATTCTCTTCTTAGTATAATTCTAAGTTAAGTGCATATTACTAGTCATTGAAGCAATCACTAAAATCCAACCAGAGGAAAAAAGACTATCAGCTGTGGTCTAGGTTGGCAACATGAACTGTTTGCTGTGCCTTGTGGTATACACCTGTTAATTTTAGCACTCAGGAAGCTGAAGCAGGAGGATTCCAAGTTCTAGGCAGGCCTGGGCTACACAATGAGATGAAGGGAAGGGAAGGGAAGGGAAG